GTAGAGACGGGGTTTCACCATGTTGACCAGGATGGTCTCGATCCCTTGACCTCGTGATCCACCCGCCTCGGCCTCCCAAAGTGCTGGGATTACAGGCGTGAGCCACCGCGCCCGGCCCTAGTGCCTTTTCTTAATAAACTCAGGCAATAATGTAAAAAAATGTTTCTGAAGTGTGCAGAGAAAGAACTATTTGAGTTAGACTTTAGAAATCAATGTAAAATGTTTTCATCAAACTATATAAAAGAGACTATAACAATGGGATTTTTTTTTGAGCAAGGTATAAAAGTATTTTAACTTTTAACAACATAAAGATTCTGGTCTTAACACATTTATGCCTAGTGTTATATTATTGGAATGCTAAGCTTGTGGGACTTATTTATATCCTGCTGCTCAATGCCATTGTGAAGATCTGATTTTTCACACAAAAAAAGTTCAATCTTCGGCATAAATGGGTTAATGAAGGTGGTAGGAACTATCACACATATTCCAAACATTTGTTTTGAAAACCAGTCTACAATGGTAACTGATATGAAACATAGATACTAATAATACTAAACTCAATTTTAGACCTAAATATTAACAAGAATAAAGAGATGACATTTACAGCTCTCACCTCTGAGTGACTGTTAACCAAAAGAAGAATTCTGAATCAAATCATACATTTTCATCTATATATGGAATAATTTCTTTGTATTCATTCTCTGGTGCTAATGTCATTAACAGGAAATAAAAAGATGTATATGTCTGAAGACAGAAAATGTGAGTCGTCAGCCGGTATCGCTCTAAAAATCTCACTACTCTGTACTGAATGCAAAGGAAGACAGAGGAGAGCAGGGGAGGAAGACAAGGGAGGAAGAGAGAAACAAAAATAAACCTATCCAAAATGGAAATGCTCAGTGGAGACACTAAAATACAAATACTACAGCTAAGCATCACTATTCACACAAAAGAAGGGGTTAAAATAAACACTGAAAGGCTAAGGATCTTGCCCAAGGTCATATAATAAAGTCACTCAAACACCCAATCCAATATCAAAGCAGTAATAAATTATACTCTCTTGATGATCTATTCAACTGGACTTGGCAAAATCATAATTAAAATGGTAAAATGTTTCTGTCTAGAAAAAAAATACTGCACTAAATTATAATCTGGAATGAAGAGAGACTTTAAACTTTTGCATACTGCCGCTAAGATGACCTTTGCCACTGGAAAAACAATAGCTATTTTATTTTGTATTCCTTGGAAAATAAACTTATTTCCGACTAAAATATGAGTCAGCTTGAAACTTAAGTTAGAGATGAACGTTCTCTAAACACAAGGCAAAACACTTCAAGAAATTTTTTTTAGTAAAACTCAACTACTTTCAGATTTTTTGTAATTGGAATTACTTAAGTGGTACTCATACTGTTTTACTATAATATGTGAAGAAAATGTTTAGAATAGAAATAGGAAAATCATTTTTTACATGCAATATTTGTTTGCTGTTTTTATTACAAACACTGTAAGAATACAGCTTACTCAAAATGGGGGAAGGG